TTGGTATGGTATGGCATGGCATGGTATGGTATGGTATGGTATGGTAGTATGTATGTATGTATGTATGTATGTATGTACTGTATGTACTGTATGCATGTACATGTACTGTATGTATGTATGTATGGATGGGTGGATGTATGTATTAATGTAATGTAATGTAATGTACTGTATTGTAATGTATGTATGTATGTATGGTATGTATGTATGTATGCATGTATGTATGTATGTAATGTAATGTAATGTAATGTAATGTAATGTATGTATGTATGTTAGGTAGGTAGGTAGGTATGTTTGTATGTTTGTATTTTTGTATGTATGTATGTATGCATGTATGTATGTATGTATGTATTAATGTAATGTAATGTAATGTAATGTATTTATGTATGTATGTATGTATGTATGTTTTGTATGTATGTAATGTATGTATGTAATGTATGTATGTAATGTATGTATGTAATGTATGTATGTAATGTATGTATGTAATGAATGTATGTAATGAATGTATGTAATATATGTATGTAATGAGTGTATGTAATGAATGTATGTAATGAATGTATATAATGAATGTATGTAATGCATGTATGTAATGAATGTATGTAATGAATGTATGTAATGTATGTATGTAATGAATGTATGTAATGAATGTATGTAATGAATGAATGTAATGTATGTAATGAATGTATGTAATGAATGTATGTAATGAATGTATGTAATGAATGAATGTAATGAATGACTGTAATGATTGTATGTAATGTATGTATGTATGTAATGTAATGTAATGTAATGTAATGTAATGTAATGTATGTAGGTAATGAATGTATGTATGAATGAATGTAATGAATGAATGTAATGAATGTATGTAATGTATGTAATGAATGTATGTAATGTATTTAGGTAATGAATGTATGTATGAATGAATGTAATGAATGACTGTAATGATTGTATGTAATGTATGTATGTATGTAATGTAATGTAATGTAATGTAATGTAATGTAATGTAATGTAATGTAATGTAATGTATGTATGTATGTATGTATGTATTGAATGTAGCAATCCACAATCTTCCTCATTTTCGAGTTAGCTCAAAACATGTAGCTGGCTCAATTTCAGAAGGGGTCACGTGTTTGACTTTAATGTTGTACTGCTGTCTAAGCAGATTTGGCCCAAAACGTGGCTCCTCAATTTCTGGGCTGCAACAGGGGTACCATCTCTATTAACGAAATATTTGGGACTGAACCTGGCAATTGAACACATTGGGAAAAATTTGCGGGCTCGCTCAAGTGGAACGAGCTACCTCAGCAACACCGCGCTAGCTCAAACACATCGCTCTAGCTCGATGGCATCGAGCTGGCTCAATTTTTTTGAACGAAAAAAAACACGAAAAAAAAACTCGAAAAAATTGAGCCAGCTACGTCACGTTGAGCTGGCGAACGAATGTGAAAGCTCAAAAACGAATACACAATATGTATTGGCCGGGATAATGTCGGCACACCAAGCTGGCTCAAGGGCATGTAGCTGGCTCAATTGTTTTTTTCGTTTTTTTTTTCGTTTTTTTTTTGGGTTTCGTTCAAAAAAATTGAGCCAGCTACGAGGCGCTGAGCCAGCAACGAGGCATTGAGCCAGCTACGTGACACTGAGCCAGCAACGAGGGAATGGTGAATCTGTACTGTACGGGACCGATGGATTTTCCGATGCAGCCTTTGCAGTTCCAACAAATCAAATTATTGATTAATTCTGGCTCCATGTGAGATAAAATAGAAGAATGGCAGTCTATACATATGTATTCATATATAAACCCAGCCGTATAATTATGGCCAATCTCAGGCAACAACAGTTTTCTTGAGGGAGACGCGTACCCTTGAGCTGGAGGGAGATTGGGACTTGTAACTTTCGAATGTGCATGTATGTATGTATGTATGTATGTATGTATGTATGTATGTATGTATGTAGTATGTATGTATGTATGTAGTATGTATGTATGTATGTAGTATGTATGTATGTATGATGTATGTAGTATGTATGTATGTATGATGTATGTATGTATGTATGTATGTATGTTATGTATGTTATGTATGTAATGTATGTTATGTATGTAATGTATGTAATGTATGTAATGTATGTAATGTATGTAATGTATGTAATGTATGTAATGTATGTAATGTATGTAATGTATGTATGTAAGTATGTAATGTATGTAATGTATGTAATGTATGTAATGTATGTAATGTATGTAATGTATGTAATGTATGTAATGTATGTAATGTATGTAATGTATGTAATGTATGTAATGTATGTAATGTATGTAATGTATGTAATGTATGTAATGTATGTATGTATGTAATGTATGTATGTATGTATGTATGTATGTATGTATGGTATGTATGTATGGTATGTATGTATGGTATGTATGTATGGTATGTATGTATGGTATGTTATGTATGGTATGTTATGTATGGTATGTTATGTATGGTATGTTATGTATGGTATGTTATGTATGGTATGTTATGTATGGTATGTTATGTATGGTATGTTATGTATGGTATGTTATGTATGGTATGTTATGTATGGTATGTTATGTATGGTATGTAATGTATGGTATGTAATGTATGGTATGTTATGTATGGTATGTTATGTATGGTATGTTATGTATGGTATGTTATGTATGGTATGTTATGTATGGTATGTTATGTATGGTATGTTATGTATGGTATGTAATGTATGGTATGTAATGTATGGTATGTAATGTATGGTATGTAATGTATGGTATGTTATGTATGGTATGTTATGTATGGTATGTTATGTATGGTATGTTATGTATGGTATGTTATGTATGGTATGTTATGTATGGTATGTTATGTATGGTATGTTATGTATGGTATGTTATGTATGGTATGTTATGTATGGTATGTTATGTATGGTATGTAATGTATGGTATGTAATGTATGGTATGTAATGTATGGTATGTAATGTATGGTATGTAATGTATGGTATGTAATGTATGGTATGTAATGTATTGTATGTAATGTATTGTATGTAATGTATTGTATGTAATGTATTGTATGTAATGTATTGTATGTAATGTATTGTATGTAATGTATGTATGTATGTATGTATGTATGTATGTATGTATGTATGTATGTATGTATGTATGTATGTATGTATGTATGTATGTATGTATGTATGTAATGTATGTATGTAATGTTTGTATGTAATGTATGTATGTAATGTATGTATGTAATGTATGTATGTAATGTATGTATGTAATGTATGTATGTAATGTATGTATGTATGTAATGTATGTATGTAATGTATGTATGTAATGTATGTATGTAATGTATGTATGTAATGTATGTATGTAATGTATGTATGTAATGTATGTATGTATGTAATGTATGTATGTATGTATGTATGTATTGTATGGATGTTGTATGTCTGTATGTATTGTAATGTATTATTATGATATATATATGCCATATATTTAATTTTTGTATATGTTATATTGTATATATGTTATATGTATATATGTATATAGTATATATGTAGATAGATAATGTATATATGTATATTTGTATATATGTTACATATGTATATATGTATTATGTATATAGTGATAACAATATGCATATGCATATATTATATGTGTATATGTGTATATGTGTATATGTATATATGTTTATATGTATATATGTATATATGTATATATGTATATATGTATATATGTATATATGTATATATGTATATATGTATATATGGGAAAATCATCGAACAAACTGATTTCCAGCATACCGTGTTTGAGTACCAGAGGGCAATTTTCAAAAGAAATGGAGTGTCTCAGAGTCACAGCTGATGGTTCCGGTAGACACCTGGATGCAACAGACTCAACAGAACTCTTCAAACCTCTTGGAAGACTTTCTGATTCTGAAAAGAAAAACAATCCGAAATTATAGGACCGGATAACTGTTAACAACTTCTCCAGACTTAGACTGAGCATAGAAAAGCAACAACGGAAGAGGAAGTATGAGAGTGATGGAGGGGTGATGGTGGGTGAGTTTGTGTGTATGTATGTATGTGCATGTACAGGTGTATCACTTTGGTAGTGTGTTAACGATATGTGTACCGGGTGTAAGAGGCAGTTTGTAATATATGTGATGTACATGCGGATTTTATACGTATGTGTATGTGTGTGAGGTGATATTATTTTCGTGTGATGTGAGGTTGGGTGGCAGTAATGTAAATGTATGCAAACGTAAATATACTGATCTTGTTGCATGTGACGTGAAGTTATGATGCGTCAAGTGATGTTTTGGTATGTGATGTTGTGATGACGCTGTGATCACCAAAAGCCAGCGGCAGAGCGGCGGAGACCAAGGGACGCCAGAGGGACGCCAGAGGGACGCCAGAGGGACGCCAGGGTGTACATCCGACCCCTTTGCAGTGCACCAAGTCCCACGCCTGCCATGCAAAAGCCACCGGCAGAGCGGCAGACCAAGGGACGCCAGAGGGACGCCAGAGCGACGCCAGGGCGTACATCCGACCCCTTTGCAGTGCACCAAGGCCCGCGCCTGCCACGCATAGTGTGAGTGATGTGTGTGTGTGTGTGAGAGTGATGGTGAGTGAGTGAGTGAGTGATTGTTTGTGGGATGTGTGAGTGTGTGAGTATGTGTGTGTGTGTGTGAGTGAGTGAGTGAGTGAGTGAGTGAGTGGGTGATGAGTGATGCAGTGAGTGATGAGTGATGTATTGGATGGGATGCTTGATGATATTGAGGATGTGTGTGCGAGTGAGTGTGTGTGTGTGTGTGATGTATGTGTGAGGGAGATGTGTGTGAGTGAGGATTGGGAGGACAGGCGGGAGGAGGAGAAGGAAGGAGCGGATACAGCACCAAAAACAAAAACCCCACACGTCAATGTGGGGAACAAAGTTCATGCGTCTATATCTATTCTATTTCTCATTTTGAGACTCTCCTCCCTTCACTGAAATAGCGGCTGGTGGCACGCATCCAGTACTTTCCGTGGTACATGGCATCTCCAAGGCACCCCTTTCGGAAAGGGAAGGAGAACTTGGGCGGCCTTGCTGCCGCCTGGGGTTGGACAGGTAGCTGCCCGCTTTAAAGTTTGAGATACCCCGAGATGGCCATGAAATCATGGGAAAATTGAGCCAACTGATGTTTGGAAGCTGAGTTCTTTTTGTGAACGTGTGCATTTCTGCTTCATCACGATGAGGACATTTTCCCCCGGAAAGAAAACATGTCGATCAGAAACACATGATGTGCTTGAGCAGGTCCTTCACCCGTCGAAGATTTTGCCAACCATTCTGCCGGTGCCTTAAACATTCTCTACTTGCTGCAGAACAGTCATTAAATTTGTTGAATTTTGATGAAATTATAGCAAACTCACAAAAAAACGTCACCAGTATAATGCGCAGTAAGAATATGTTTTTTTAAATGTTTTTTCTCAAATAAAAAACAGGTTGGTGAATTAGCATATGCACCAGTATTCTACTTTTATTCTCTGATATTCTGATGTAATGTATGGATGGATAGATGAATGGGTGGATGGATGCATACATACATCCATACATCCATCGATCCATCCATACATACAGAGTTCAGCCAGATTGATGGCTTTTGAGGTCTTAAGATTGGCTCGGAACTTGCCTCCTGGTTCCCTGTTGATCGATGCTGGAGTTTTCGATGGAACTGATTGGTCTCTGATGGGCATTCTGGCTGGTGCGACCGTGATTGGTTTCGAGCCTTTGCTGGAGAACAGGAAACTCATTGACGACAGGCTACCCGTGCGGCTCAGTGAGTATGATCAAACTTCGGCCCACACATTCCTGCACATTGAGCCGGGAGAGGCAGTTCCTTTCGCGTGAAATGATGGCCATTTTCTGATTTCCTATTGTCTTTTGGGTAAAAAGTTCTCCAGTTTATTCCTGTTTTCAGTGCCGAAAACAAATTCGCAGAGCTGAGGTGCCACGGCTTGACTGGAAGTCTGTTTTCACGGAGGGCAGCAGGCCATGTTCGCCATGCTTTCAGCCGAACGTTTTTGTGGGCTGTAGGCACTTCCAATAAGTGTCTTGGGCCCTGTTTGACCTTCTTGAGATTAAACGCAACGCATTATCCAGACTGAAGATCTGATGGCTCTTGAAAGCATTTGAAAGCTACTGGTAGGCCCTTGGTATGGCTCAAAGTGACCAACGTCCACTTTGGAATGGTGAGTTGCCAGCAATGACCAATCTTGTGAGTCTGTTGGTACCCCGAAATCGGTTGCGTTTGCTCCATTCCCTGCAGGGCCGGTCACAGCTACATTATGACCGCTGCTCTTGGAGAACGCGTCTCTGGGTTGCACAGTTGCACCAACCCGTTTTTTGGTTTCAGGTTGTCACTGCGATGAGGGCGGTCAAGCGGGGTTTGATGACTGTTCCTCATGTGGAAGACCCAATCATAAAGCTCCCATTTTATCCCATTTTGGAATATGAATCTCACCCAAATTTCTGGTGTTTGATGTTTTTTTTGCTAATTTCGTTTGCCAATGGATGTTTTGGATGCTTCCTATCCAAACGGCTCAGGTCAGGGCCTTGAATATGACAACGCGCTATGACTACAGCAGCATTTCTGACCAAGGACAGGGTTGCTCCAGTTGTAGGTAACTGATAGCCGCTTCTGAGGGGAAATGGCTCATTTTTCCTCCAAAAAATTACCGAATTTACTGCTCTTGTGGGTGTTGGGAGCAATGCTGAAGGATATCTCACAGGGCCTCCCAATATGCAAGTGGAGTCTCGCCTGCGCTGCAACGCAGTAGCGACATGCAGATGTAGCAACTGAATTTGTAGGGGAACAGACCCGTTGTACATGCTGTGAAACAGCAAATTACAATATCTACCACCTATAATCGCACCAAAGGAAATATTGTTACAGTGAGTACCCCCTATTCTTGGCCAGATAGATACGTTTGGGGTGAGCATACCAAGTACATATCTTAGTATTGGACATTTGCTGGAAAATCCCCGGGAATTCCAAGGAAGAGATTGCCATGACAACGCTGGATGACACCATCGGTCCGTACTTGCCATTCGACCACATCGACCTCTTGAAGCTAGATGTGGAAGGAGAGGAAGGGTTGCATTGGGAGTATGGCTACAAATTACAACCCAGTTTTTGCAGTGTACATGCATGCATACATACAGACAGACAGGCAGACAGACAGACATAAATTGCACTACACTACATTACATTACATTACATTACATACATAGAATAAAATAACATAGCATAACATAACATTACATTGATACAAACATGCTTGCATGCATACATACATCCATACATCCATCCATTCATCCATGCATGCATACATCCATACATCCATCCATTCATCCATGCATCCATGCATGCATACATCCATACATCCATCCATTCATCCATGCATCCATGCATGCATGCATACATCCATACATCCATCCATTCATCCATGCATCCATGCATGCATGCATACATCCATACATCCATCCATTCATCCATGCATCCATGCATGCATACATACATACATACATACGTACATACGTACATACGTACATACGTACATACGTACATACGTACATACGTACATACGTACATACGTACATACGTACATACGTACATACGTACATACGTACATACTTACATACGTACATACGTACATACGTACATACGTACATACGTACGTACGTACGTACGTACGTACATACGTACATACGTACATACGTTCATACGTACATACGTACATACGTACATACGTACATACGTACATACGTACATACGTACATACGTACATACGTACATATGTACATACGTACATACGTACATACGTACATACGTACATACGTACATACATACATACAGACACACACACATACACACATACATACATACATACATACATACATACATACATACATACATACATACATACATACATACATACATACTGTACATACGTACGTACGTACGTACATACATGCATACGTACATGTATACATGTATACATGTATATGTACATGAATGAATATGTTGTGTTGTCTGTATATCTATGTATTCCCAACAGCAGTGACTGTTGGGTTTCAGTCTCCGGGTCTGGGAGTGGTGCCCCGTTTGTTGTCTGCACTGAAAACTAGAATCTAGAACCGAACCCTGGAACCCTTGAACCTGCTGTTGGGTTGCAAAGCTGGGTTAATATAATATATGTGTATATATATATAGATATGTACATATATACATGTACAAACACAGACACACACACACATGATAACCGCTTGAGGGAATTTGGGGCAATGCTTGGATGTGCACCCCAGGAGTCTTGACAACTGTGGTCAGTAACAAAGTAAGTGAAAACATGATTCCCTTTATCAGATACTGTACTATTTTCGCTTGGTAAACTATATCAAATCACATGAAACCCATATGATTTCCATTTTATGACGCCAAAAACCCTTGCATTTGGCATGTAAAGGCATCTATTCCCTTTATCAGAGCATATTTCCAGGTGAATGGTATCCAATTGGATGGTTCTATATGTATCGTCAAATTGGATGGTAACACATTCCCTTTATATAGATGGTTTGTATTAAACCCAAATGGAGGTTTCCTAAAATGGGAGTACCCGTTTTGAGAAACCCAAATATATAAAATGATATAGAATTGTTATGTATAGACATAGATATAGATAGTGATTATACAAAATATTGAACCATCTATCTATATCACTATATTGAACCATTTACAACAATTAACCACCTATATATATATAGACAGAAACCCAAATATTGAACCATCCCCCATTTCACCCAACAGGCTACGAGATGGGTGCCTTGCGCGGTGCCGAAGGGCTGCTGGCCGACGGACTGGATTTCCAGATCCACCATTTCGGAGCGGGGAGCATTAAACATGGGGACTGAATCGGATAGATGTGCTAGTATAATCCTCAAAAATGGAGGTTGAATGGCAATATTTTATTGTGGTTGCCATTTGGTTTATATCGTTTTTTCCGTGAAAAATGACGCCATAAAATGATCCCAGTGAAATCAAATCGCAGGACGGATTCGCTTCCTGG